ACATGACTAATACTGCAGCTATCGGTTTTTATCTTTATTGTTATTATTCGAGAGAGACTACCCATTGGAGACACTGGATGCCCTTGATTGGCAAAGACATGCTAATTCTCTTGGACTTAACAAATCATATTTTTATTTTCTCCAATGGAAAATAAGTATTACTTTTGAAAACCCTTCAGTGGTGATAAAAGGATAGGGTAGACTCATGTGTGCCTCAAGCAACATCAATCAAACTTGCAGCCAAGTTTTGATTACAAGATCTTTATTTCTGGCAATGATGTAAGAAGTAAAAAAGCACAGCTGGGTTTTCAGCTCTAGGTGGATACCACAAGTTTTTGAAATTGGAAAAAGCACCTTCTAACTTGGAAATTTGGTGATTTGTCTGGAGAAGTCAGAGGGGAAATAAATACAAACCTTATCCTAACCTCAAGTCCTCATGATACCATTTATAGAATAAGGAAGAAATCAGAGAGCAGGATTATCCAACTAACAACCCCAGCCAAAAGGCTGGGTGCTCAGCAAAGCCCAAACAGAACAGCTATGGCCTGTTAAGTAAATGATCTAACACTCTGGTTTATACACCTATAGCTTATCTTTATTAGCATAGAAAGGAGCAGAGATTTTTGTAGTTTACCACTGTGACTTCATATAAAAACTACTGGAAAGTTTAAAAGTACAGACTCCTGGCAAGTCCCAAGAGGTGTGGTTTAGTAGGCTTTGCAATCTGGGTTTCTAAAATAGCCCTCCATGATTCTGATGGGATTGATCTACAAATTTTATCTGGAAACTATTGGTGTAATTATTGGAGTGTTTTATTTTATGAAAACTTTGAAATCTGTTCTTGCTTTTGCCAATGACTTGTTTGCTGTATGATCTTGGGAAAGTCCAGTGACTTGATTACTAGTGTTAATTACCTAACTGTAAAATGAGATATGTTAGCTTCCCTTCCTCCACTGGAATGAAGAATGTGTTAGGTGGGAGATATTTGAAACAGGCCATCAAAGAAGTTTGGGATGGCTATCTCAGTAGGGACCGGTCTGTGTGCATTCACCTAGTATCCAATGACATCGTTGTTTGAAATGCAAAGCTATTCACTTCACGATGTCAGAGTCTCTTGATATATACATGTTATATGAAAGAGTTGGACCATAAATCCATTTTTCACTAATGATCTCAAATGAGTCAGAGGTGGGTCCTCAACATCACCACACCCGAGGAAACACAGAGGCAGCACTGGAGATTAAAATCTTGCCATTGTTGTATCTTGGTCAGTCTATGCCTCTATAACAGAATACCATGGACTAGGGAGCATCAACAACAAGCATTTGTTCTTCACATATCTAGAGGCTGAAAAAACAAGATCAGTGGCCTGGCAGATCCCTTATTGGAGAACACTTCCTGCTTTGCAGCTGACCATCTTTTTGCTTCATGTGGCAAAGTGCAGAGAGAGCAGGTTCTACATCTCTGCTTCTAAAGGGCACTAATCACATGAGGAGGGTTCTACCCTCTTGACTTGATTACTTCCCAAAGCCTCAACCTCCTCATACTGTCACATCATGGGTTAGGATTTCATAACAAGCCAGGAAAAGTGTGTGTCTGGGGTTAGGTGAGGGGCATTCAGTCCATAACTCTAAGTAGTTGAAACTTAAGCAGAATAAGTGGCATATCTTAGGCTTAAATCCTCTTTGGTGGCCTTACAAGGAAACAAAATTTCCTGGAACTGGGAATAATCCAGGAAACTCTGATTTCTTGACATAATCATGGTGTCCTTTGGAAACAAAATGACAAGAATGATCCCACTACACTGAAATGCCGAGCTCCATACACCATGGATCTCAAGACTTGCACAGTGAGGTTAGATAGGTATGGACATCAAGCAGAATGAAACATTGCTCACAATTGGCAATGAGGAATGAGGAACCAATCGGATGCTTTGGGAAAGGTTTGAGGGCAGGACTTAAGGAGCATTATCTGATGTAGAGATATAGAGGCTGTGAAAGGCCCTTGGAGAGATGGCTGTACAGGACCATTTTCTCTTCAAGGGAAAATAAAATGCAAGGAAGGTGAATGCATTAAGTTGTGAGAGGCACAGGAACTCCTTCCTAAAGGAAACTGGACCTTCTAGGGCATCAGGACACTCTCCCAGCATCTCCTCACTCCTGCCCAGAAACCTCCTCCCAGGTCCAAGAACCCCAGTGTAAACTGGACTGCTTCTTTTGCTACCCTTTTGCAGTCTCCCTCCCTATGTTGTTGGTGGTTTGCAGGACAGGCCTGTCACGTTGTCTGGGCACCACCCAAAATACCCAAACTCCCTCTTCCCCGTCCAAGTTAGATCTGTCTACCCTCACCCCTGAGGTTATTAAACTGGCAAGGAAATATATGAAACCAGCATTCTTGAATGGTTCCTCACTCCGGGCAAGGAAAAGGAGGACTATTTCCATGGTTGAAGTGTTCCAACCAATTCAGAGAAAAATACCACATGAAGTACAAATATCATGCTGGCCAAGCAAGGGTTTTCCTTTATAACCATGCTGACATGCAAGGTTTTTACAGCCCTGCTTCTCCCCTGGTGTCAGTAGTATTGCCTGCTCTCTCCAGCTGGGGATGTCAATTCAGCAGAGGTAGGGAAAGGATTGCATCTGTGGGAGGTGCTAGAAAGGAGAGAGTCCCTGGGAGAATTTAAATTCTGTAGTGAGAAGGTAGAATAAAATATCCAATTTAGGAGGGGAACAAGAGAGAGCCTCGTTATAGTAAAAAGAATTGCAAACCCTTTGCTGAAAATAGATTTGGGAAGACATTTTCTAAATGGCATCTTTTTTGAGGGAAAGAAGACTTATACTAAAGAATACATAGTGAGGTTGCTCATTTGTATAAAGAACAAGCAAAACTAATCTACACTGTGAAAGTGTGTACTGCAGAATCCTGTGTGTTGTAGGAGTAGATGGATTTTACTGGGAAGAAACACAAGGGGAAATTCTGAGGGACTGAAAATGTTCTATAAAATCTAGATTTGAGCAATGATTACCCAGCTGTAGTTACATGTAAAAATTCCTTAAGCTGCATACTAATATTGATGTGTTTTATATATGCAATTTATTATTCAGTTCAAACATTTTAGATGAATTTTTGCCACATTTATAGATGTAGCATCAGAACAAAGGGCACCTGGGATATTTCATGGAATGGAGATGCTGCTAATAAACTGGGTGAACTGGAGAGCACAGCAGGAAAAATCATGCCCTAACATGGCAGGTGGATCGCAAGCTTTGTCAGCAAGCTGACATGGGTCCGCATCCTGTCTGCAGTTTTACTCTGGGTCTCTGAGCAAGCTTTATATTCCTTTCAGGCTCAGCTTCCTTTGCTAAAGTGTAGATAATAGCACTATAGGTATCTGTTGTTTGGGGGAATTAAATAAGCAATCTGTACAGATATATTCCCAAACATCTGAAATATAGCCTAAAATGATATTTTATGATGGATAGTAGATACGTGTCCACATAGACCATGATACTAAAGGATTCCAGCCATGAATCATATTTCTATCCTAAAGTATTTCTGAAAATAAAGGTATGGTTCTACATAATTTAATAATAAAATATTGCACTTATTTCTAATTAGATATTACAAAGATATATTCAATGATTAAAATATTGTCATTGTACTTATTTGAAATCAAGTGTATTCTGGGATGTGAGATTTTAGAAAAAGAACTTAGCATCTCTCAGTGCATTTATCAATAAAATGGAGATAAAATATTATTTTATTAGTAGTGTTATGGTGATTCAATTTGTTACACAATATGTCCTTTAGTCAGCCTGATGCTATTTAATTCAGCAAATATTTATTTAATGCCTAATATAAGCTAGATATTGTTTAATATCTGAGAATTTAAAACAAGGATAAGACACAGCCTCTGCCTTCTGGAAACTTCCAATCGAGTGGGAAAAAAGACTAGGACACATTTATATGAGAATGTGATAAATGTAAATCTAATATATGATAAGAGGACTGGACAGGCATCCAGGAACCATTGTACAACTGTCAGTTGAAAGCATGCATAGGATGATGTTCAGATTGAAATTCCTAAAAGGCATCATGACATTAGAAATGCCTACAGAAAACCACCACCTGATGGAGACAGCCTATGGCCAAGGGCTATTTATATTTCCGAGTCACAGTTTTTCTATAGCCAGGATTGTTCTGAGTCAGAAGTGAATATGTTAAAACTGCACGAGTGGAAATCACCTTCAGACTGCAATGAGTCAGAAGAGGAACGGGATGGGATTTGCAGTAACAAGAAACCTAATTCTTTTGACTTCTCTCCACCTCCAGCACAGTCTTGTGGTTGGAGGTCATGTCTGTGCATGGGGGAGTGGCAGCTCTTCCAGGGCAATAATGAGTCATAATCTGCTTTAAGAATCTGGTGAAAGGTACAAACTTTTTCCAGGGGAAAACAGATTTACAAACAAATCGATTGTAGTAATCTCAAGGTTAGTGTCCTTTTGAAGGCTAGATTATGAAGGCTTATATTACTACAACTTTTCTTCTCTTCAAATAACCAAGAAATACTAACAACTTCATTAATTATATCATCATATCAACACTGATGATCCTTAAATCATATCTGAATGGTTCCCTGAGCGTATGTATAAGAATATTTTCTGTATTCCATATACCTGGTACTTTCCAGTGTACTTAGATGTGAAACTTCTGCAAGATGAGAATCTCAAAGAAAACCCAGCTATAAGAAATCTAGATGCTGCACTGTGTATCAAACTCTTTGAGAGTAATACATCATATATTACTGTACAATACCTACTACCACTGCCAATAAATGAACATTACCATTTTTTGTCTCTTGACTTTGAGATTGGGGTGCTCAGACAAATGCTAACAAGAATCAGTTGTCCCTGCCTATTTGCTAACCCTAATCTTGTATTGCTGAAGATACAGTCTTCTCTCAGGACCTTCATGGCCAATCTTGTTTCATGTCTCATCAGCAAGTTCCTGAAGATACAGTGCCTGGAAGGTGGAATCTGGGAGCAAGGCAGCTGTGTGCCAGTGGTGTGTGAGCCTCCTTCTCCTGTTTTTGAAGGCATGTATGAGTGTACCAACGGCTTCAATTTGGACAGCCAGTGTGTGCTTAACTGTAAGCAGGAAAGTGAAAGGGTAAGGAAGACTCCTTGAACTTTGTTTGGGATCAGGCTGTATTCTAATCTTGATTGCCATGCCAAGAATGTTGATTCAAAATGACTGAAAAAAATCCCAACAGAGAGGGTCTGGGGTTCTAAGCAGAGGTGTTAATACAGTATTATTCAAGAAGAAATTCAAAAGATCTATGTTTTAGAATATTCTCTCAAGTTCAGAACTTCCTTCCTCATGGGTAAGAAGAATCTTATGGGTAGGGTACACTTGGGTACAATGCGCATAATTCTGGAATCCTGACTCTGTGTGTGTGTGTGTGTGTGTGTGTGTGTGTGTGTGTGTGTGTAGAAACAAATTTCTCAGCAAAGCTCAAAGTGCTGTATGACTGTTATCCTCCTTAGGATTTTAACACAGGAGATCTCAAATAAAAAGTGTAGTCTTAAGTGGTTGTGTGACTAAAATCAATTTTGTTTTAGAATCTTTTCAAGCACTACACATATACATGAGACAGGAAGTCAAGCAGTCTTCCTAGGCAACAGTCAATGACCTTGACTTCTCTTTTGCCATGTGTCTTTAAGTTAGTGTTCAGTACTCAAAGGTAAGCACTGCAGAATATACGTGAAAAGAATATGCCATGAGACCCCAAGAAAGTCAAACATTTATGTTTCCACTGATTGAGTTAAAGAATCAAAGACTTGACCAGATGCAGGGAGAGGGATCTATATTTCTAATCTTATTTCCTTGGGTTTTGTTAGTTCCCTGTATTCTAGAGTTTACCTTGTGAGTATTGAAGATGTGAAGCTAAGAGTTACACAAGTCAGCACACATGTGGAGAAAGGGAATAGAACAAAAGCAACTATGATATGTTTATTCTAATAAAAAGGCAAAAATACACCTTTAAGGAAAATTAAATATTGGTTTCACAGAATGAAATTGATCTGGAAAAAAACCTCAGATATTTGCAACAAGCATCATTTTTGTGACAGTATGCATGAATCATTGCAAAACAATACCATCTGGGGAAATTTTCCAAACATAACTCAGATTACATGGGTTATGATCAATAGCTCAACATATCCTTATAGCTTAAAAGAAATACTTTGTTGATAAATTTCATCAATGTCAAAGTTGTTTATGATTTTTTTACATGGAAACAGTAAGGAAATGTCTTGGTTTGCTTCCTTTCTTTTCTTTTCTTTCAAGTTTTCCTATTTCCAGTATAGTTCATTATAGTGTCTTTTAGCCCAAATTCTAGAACTTGAAGTATGTTACCATTTAATTAGGCCACTTTTTCTTAATGAAGCTATCAAAACAATAATGGGATATTCTTTACCTTTGATATTCTAGCTTCCCATTGTCTGCAATAAAGAGGGACTGTGGACTCGTGAATTCAAGCTGTGTGAGAACCTGCAAGGGGAATGCCCTCCACCTCCCTCAGAGCTGAATTTCCTGGAGTACAAGTGTGAACAGGGATACGGGATTGGTAAGGAAAAGAAAGAATGCTGATGTCTGTTCCCAAGTTAACATTGTGTTAAGCCTGGTTGGATCCTGAATCAGTTACACTGTTCTCCTTGTAAAGTAAATGGAAGTGCAAATTAATTCTTAGCTGCTTCATGAAAAATAAAATTCATAATAAATTTGGTCTCTCTCTCTCTCTTTCTTGTTTTGTTTTGTTTTGAGACAGGGTCTCACTGTGTAGTTCAGGCTGTGAACAAACTATATAGCCCAGACTGGCCTCATCATTTAAGTATGTGATATTTTAATGCATCAAAATATTGCATACTCATATATGTAACCATAAACACTTGTGTTAGCTGCGACCTCAAGGTGATCCTTCCACCTCAGCCTCCCAAGTGCTGGGATTATGGACATGTGCTACTATGCCCAGATCAAATTTGTTCTCTTTAGTACTTCCACACAGGTATAAGGTTGATATGACTGCTAAGCTATCTGCTCATGTTTTACCCACTCTGCTGCAGAGCTGAGAGTGGATGGATGTGTAGCAGTAATTTTAGTTCCAAGAGGAAAGAAGAGGATGTGTAGTCATCATCACTTGTATATGAGGATCCTTCATTATCTTAGTGGTTGTCAGTGGAATGCAGAGTTCCTAAAAGGGATGATTTGACATTGCACTTACTTGTATTAATCTTCAGCCATACATTCTCTTCAGAAGACCAAGCTCCAGATCCTGTGAGCAACTTCTTATTCAAGTAATTACAATTAAATGTCTTTGTGTCCAGAGCTGGTTTACAGTGATGATGATACAACTTTTCCCTGGTTGTCCCTAAACATCACAGAACAGAGTTGTATTTTGTGTGAAACCTTGTAAGATTACTCCTAAGTTCTGAATCGCATGGACAAGGAATAATTTTATACAGCATTTTAACCTGCGTAATGCTATTGAGTATAAATTGTGTTCAGTAGAATGCTCATGAGTTTCTGAAGTGGTTCTTTCCCACCTTCAAGGTGTTCTTGCACTGTGAGGTCCTGTGGTCAGGCCTGGAGGATCAGAGAGTTTGATACACCTCTTGAATGGTATTTCATGAATAGATTTTTATCCTCAAAGCCTCCAATTACTGCATCAAAATATCATATACTCAAATACTTAGAGTCCTAAAGGCTGATGTAATATTTTAGTATTATAAAAGTTTCTGAAAAACAATGAAACATAGACACTGAGAACTGAAAAGAAACTTGGAGATCATCAGATCTATAGATGAAGGAAGAGAACACTGAGAGTATTTTCCTTGAGTAGAATTTTAAAAGATACTTGGGTCCCTCATCAAGGAAACAGCAAGATTTGCCTACTAGGGACCAACAAATGGCCCAAATCTCTGTTTCTGATTTTTGGTTGTTTCTTCCTTTAATCACACAGGTTTCCTGGCTGCCAGTGTAATGATATTCAGTGTAGCAACTGACAGGATGTGCCTGGAGTAATTTCATAATTTCTGGGTTATTTTTCCTCCAACTAGTCAAATTTTTAGGTAGGAGTTGCTGCAATTATCAGCTTCCAGGGGACCACACAAGCAAGAATGACATTAAATATACTTAAAATGCTTCAGCCAATCAGAATAGAGTTTTGCTTGTTAGCATACTGGAATGGGATCTAGGAGGTCTACAGGACCAAGAATCCATCTCAGAATTACTAGATCATCCAGAGACTCACAAATCCCAGAGATAAGGAATACTGGACCAGGCAGAGGAAGGGCTGCCTGGGGCAAGGGGAATTGGCTTCTGAGAAAGCCTCTTTACCAATTAGTGTAAAAATATCCCTAAAAGTACACATTACATGAGTATCAGGCCTGTTTCCAACTATCACAATGTGATGAATCACTATGTAAAGAGCAATTGCTCTTGTAATATTGAAGCTTCTGATTGCAAGATGAAAAAGACTGCAAACTGACAAGCTCAACCTCTGCTTTGAATTTGTGTTCATCCAGGTGCAGTGTGTTTCCCGTCATGTATAATACCCCCTAATGATCCCGTCATGTTGCCAGAGAACATCACTGCTGACAAGCTGGAGTACTGGATGGAACCTGTCAAAGTCCAGGTGAGGGAAGGGACATTTTTATGTGCCAAAGATGTAAGGTTGCTGAGTAACTGACAAGATGTCCTCTGGGGTAATTTCAGAGGATTTAAAAACAACCACATGGATCATCCGTAGTTCCTAGGATGAAACAGTGAGCAGTGAAAGAAGGAAAGCTGGGGGAAAATAAAGTCACCCATTTCTAAAGGGAAGTTTAAAAGGTAAGACAGAAAGAAGATTTCGAGACAGGAGGACCAGGAAGAAAAATGACTGCTAATGAAAAATAGGATAGGAAAATTTAGGATAAGTTGAATAAATGTATAGGTATGATATAAAGAGGTGGAAAGATGAAAGAAAGAGGAAAAGAGAAGGATGAATTTTTAAAAAAACAAATAAAACCAAAAACTCAACTAGGACTGGAGGTCCCATTTGACCCCGCTATTCCCCTGCTGGGGATCTTCCCCAAAGAATTAGAAGAATCATACCACAGAGATATATGCGCACCCATGTGCATAGCAGCACAATTTGTAATAGCTAAAGCTTGGAAACAGCCCAATTGCGCATCAACTGGAGACTGGATAAAGAAAATGTGTGGGTGTTTTTTATGTGATGGATTACTACTCACCCATAAAGAATGAGAAATTAGAGGGATTTATAGCTAAGTGGATGCACATTGAGGCGATACTCTTAAGTGAAATAAATAGGACACACATGTGTAAATACCAAGTCGTTTCTCTGGTGTGAGAAACTGAAAGTGTATATAAGGACTAAAAGTTATAATAGATAACGTGAAATAGGAAGAAAAGGGTCAAAGGAGAAGGGGAAGTGAGAGGGGTAGGGGAAAGGAAAGAGGGAAATTGAATTAATATGAGAAAATGAAAAAAATGGAAACAAAGTCTTTGTAAATAGGGAGGGATGGAGGGGCTGAAGGGAGGGCAGGGGAATGGGGAAAAAATAAGAACCAAGATACATCATGTAAAGGTACAAGATCCCAATGATGAATGACATTGTATTGTATACCTAAAATGTACCAATAAAACTAATTTTTAAAAAACCCTGAAAACTGAGGAAGAGTAAAGAAATGGGGTTAACAAATTCAGTCAAGTAGCTGGTTACAAGGTCAACACACAAAAATCAATAGCTTTCCTCTACACCAATGACAGACTCACTGAGCGAGAAATAGGGCATATAATTCCTTTCACAATAGCATCCAAAAAACTGAAATACCTAGGAATCATCCTAACAAAAGAAATCAAAGACCTCTTCTCTGAAAACTATGGCACTCTGAAAAGAGAGATTGAAGATGATATCAGAAAATGGACAGACATCCCCTGCTCCTGGGTAGAAAGGATTAATATAGTGAAAATGGCCATACTTCCAAAACTGCTATATAGATTGAATGCAATTCCAATTGAGATCCCAGCAGCATACTTCATGGACCTTTAGAAAACAATCCAAAAATTCATTTGGAATAAGAAGAGACCCAGAATAGCAAAAGCAATTCTAGGTAACAGAGACATGGCAGGGGGTATCACAATCCCCAACCTGCAACTCTACTACAAAGCTACTGTGATAAAAACAGCATGGTACTGGCAAAGAAACAGACTTGAGGACCAGTGGAACAGATTAGAAGATGCAGAAACAATGCCAGACACACTCAGCCATCTCATTTTATTGTCTTCAAAGTCATATATGTAATTTCATTTGACTGTCATCACAAACCATAAGCTGGGAAAAGACATTTCATTATCTTTATTTTACATACATATTAGAAATTGTTGGATTATCTGTCCAAGATCGCATAAATGAGAAGAAATAGAGAAAGAAACATAACCAACTTTGTTGACTTCAAGTTCAGTGCAATATCTCTGAATCATCCTCTTTTCTGTAGGTGTGTTTTGTTCTGTCTTCCTCTAGTGTATGTTTAGGTTAGTTAGCCTATCAAATGCAAAATAAGTCATTCCTCGCAACCATGAGAATCATTCCATTTTTTATGAGATGTGATAAAAAGATTCAGTGAATGCTTAAATTTTAAAAATTTATTACAGTAAAGGAAACACTGTTATTAATCCCCTCAAAATGTTCCCCTTTGCTTGAATAAATACCCTTCATCTCCTGTGTTCCCTTCCTTAGTGCTCAGAATATAAAGGCTGCATGGACCCAAAGAGCCCATAGAAGAAAATGGCTGTCACTGAGCCATTTCTTAAAGAGAACCTTTTTTGTTTCTTTTCACAAAACATCCTGTGTAAGGTTAAACTTTTATGATTGCCCTTATCTACTATGTTAGGATGGTATTTTATTATACCTTGTGGATTAAAATAAGTAAATATAGGTTTTAACTTTCAAAGTAGTGTTCTTCCAGGAGACTGATTTCATGGGGAGATTGTTTTAACATAGAGTAGCAATTGTTTGCATGTAAATGAGTTTTCTTAAATTGTGTTTGAAAGTATTTTCTTCTATTATACAAAGGCATCCATCATAACATCTCTTTTCCCCTATTATTTTGTTCCATAAATTCCTTTATCACAGATGGAATAATGCTTTTCTTTTCTTTTTCAGTACTATTATTTTAGACAGCTAAGTTAGGTAGAAATATTCTAGGCAGTCAGACAGGGTTAGGCCCTCAAGGAGTTAATACAGAGGATGAAAACACATTACAACTGTGGCTGGAGGTGCATCTTTTGAAGGTCAGGACTCAAGATAAAGATGGAATGACCAGGCCTACATGCCTCCCCAGGGGATAAGATGATGGGTGTCACCTGGCCCAATAAAGTCCAGATAGACATCACTCACCCTAGTAGGTGACCAAGACTCCCTGATCCATCCCTTCCTAAGGAAGGTCTTTGTTCTTTCCATGCACAGTTGCTATGTGACCTGCTTCCCCATTGGATCAGTATTACCTAGGCAATTATACTGGTAATCTTATTGGTTGATCTTAGTTTTGACCCACATTGTACCCACTTCCTGATTTTGCTCTATAAAACTTCCTTCGAGAAGTGAGCTCCTTGGCAGCTGACTTTCGGATCCCCTTCTGTCTCAAGGCCTGTCTCAATAAATATTTCCTACTCAACCTCTGTTGTTCTTTACATTTCATTCTTCAATTTTGGGGAACATGAATTTGGCGTAACTGACATGTAGCAGATTAGGGTTTATTTTTATTTCCCCTATGTCACTATCATTATTGTGGATCAGTGAGGTCCAAATTAATGATATTTGCTCATGGCTACACAGGATATATTTGCAGTCTTTAATACTACATAAAATCTCCCTTAGAAGTGCTCAGTCATATCAGATCTTGTAATTCCTCACTCCAATTTTCCAAATTCATCCCCAAGCAATTAATAGTTCTTTAAATAAAACCAGAATGAGTTAAAGAGAAGGGAGAAACAGGAAGAAAAAAGTAGGAGGTGTCCCCTTCAAGAGCCATGGATCCCATGAACAGTGTTACACTCCCTTCTGGCTTGGGATCTTAGCCCTGCCCCCGGGTGTCCTCTTGATATCATGGTGTGTGACAGCTGCAGGGACACTTGCTGCAAATCAGTGTGGACTCAGACATGAGCCACAAAGGCCTCTTTTTTGGTCCATTTTAAGCATACCTTCCTTCCCTCTAGGGAGCAAAGGTCTCTTCATCAGAGAAGGGTAGGCAAGGATCTTGAGGAAAGAAGAACTTTTTTTTAGCAGGAACTTGCAAAACAATGGTGCTTTTTATTTAAGGACCCATGTAGTAATGAAGGAATTCTTACAAACTTGGGTGCTGGCAAAAATTTGTAGCCTGATATGATTAGCAATAAATTATTACTCTCAAGTAATTATTCCTAACAAAAATAGAGCTGAGTGGGCAATTTTCTGTTCGATCTTCACGTTGGCTAACCATTAGTCTCCTGTTTTTGAACAAGAAATGTCACCAGGCGACAGCCTTGGTACAGCCATGTGAAAATCCTAATGACTCTTCATCATTCATTCCACCCCTGCCTCCCTCCTTTCATTCCTTCTTCCTTCTCCTTAACTTCTCCTCCTTTCTTTCTTATTTCTAAAAAAGAATTTTAAAATGATCCAACCAGGTAAAAGTTTTGCAACTAATTTTCCCCTAAACCTGTTCCTTTTGAAAAGCGCAATACAAATCCTTAGCACTTAGTGGTTTACAATCAATGCATTTGAAAAGTGGCTTTCTAACAGCATAGAAATAATTATTGTAGTAATATGCTTAGAAATAATAGTAAATTCATAATAGTTGTTACCAATAAGGGGGAAGAAAGGAAGATGATATTGGACTGATACATGTAGGGAACATGAACTGAATGTGTAATGACTTATAGCCAAGAAACAGATACAGGAAAATGTGATGATTTGATGAAGCTAGGCAGAAGATATGAAGTTGCTCTTTCTATTATTCTTTATAGATTTTCAAATGTAACATATGACTGTCACTTGCCAAAAGCATTCTAGGAAATACAAAAATCATATTCCCCTCTTACCAGGAGCTAGCGAGTTCGTCTCTGTCTCATCTTTTTCCTCCTGGTTCTCCTCTTCTTGTCTTTATCTTCTGTCTTGTGCCTCAAGTGTGTCATAAAGTTTGGTTCTGAAAAACATTTGAAATTGTCCTCCAATTATAATCTCTAAGTAGTAGTTCAATTAATGGCATAAACCTATCTTTATAGATAATGGATGACTTAAGGGATGGTTGACTTTTTTAGGCCAGAAGATATAAGAAAAGCCTAAAAATATAACATTATGTTTAGTGGTTGATAAATGCTTATAAAGCATTATCTCTCTGTAAGTCAGGGATAAGAAATAGGAGAGGTAGAAAGTCTCTATTCTCAGCAAGTTTATAATCTAAGAAGAGATATAACATAGATACCACAAACTTGGATAACTTTTATAGAGGTTAAGGAAGGTGGCCAGTTTGAACCAGTCTCAGGATTGAATTATACAACACTAAAATATCAGTGATATGGGTATTAACAATTCCACTATCAGGAATTTGCTCTACAGATATACTTGCTTATGGGAAATGACTTTACATAATCTTTGGTTGTTATAGCGAAAGGACTGAAAATAGTAGAAATACCCATCAATATGGAGCTGGCTAAATAAATTAAGGTGCATTCATACAATGCAATGCCATGCATTTAACAGAATGGAACAACCCAGATACTATAAAATAAAGAGAACCCTATAATATATTGTGAAATAAAATGAAGTAAAATACCAGCAGTAATCAACTAAAATGAAAAATAAAAGCATATCAGACTACTTAGGGTAGGTAGCATTCACATCCTTAATCCCAGTGCTCTTGTACCTAGCATTGCGCCATGAGTCAGTTCCAGCCTCCCAGCCAGCCACCTCTGAAAAGCCCCACCTAAGATTGGGGAATATGATTGGAAACAAGAGTAGAAGGAAGACTATGAATGTTTTTGTGCCTTATATATGTTATTCTTTGAACATGGACTACCTTCAAATAAAATTAAATAAAATGCAAAGACATAAAAAATGAAAACAATAGAAGAAACTAGCATTGGAAAATAAAAAATAAAAGCATTTTCTCTTCTTTCTCTTATCAAAGTATATTGTAGAACTTCTGGAGTGTTAGAAGACAAAAAGTTTTGGATTTATAAAATCTATGGATGGGTAGAGGGCTGGGAGGGCATAAGAGAAGCGGACCCAATGAGTTTACAATATTCTAGCAAGTTCCTGCTGTCAGCATCATGGATTTTGCCAAGGCTCAGGGTCTTTTTTGAGGGGAAGTATTGGCATTTTCCCAGTACTTTCCTCCAAAGATTTTGAGCTCCATGAGGGCAGCACTAGGTTTAGGGATTTCAGATACTCTTGCCCTTTGAGGAATGTAGTCCAGAGTGAGGTTTATATACACTGATCTGGATTGAATGACTGATTGAATAGGGTGGGAACCTTAATGAATGCAGCAGTATGAGAAAGAATAATGGTGCCAGGCATTTACCACTCAAGGGGACAAGTTATTTCCTCTATTTTGCCATTACTACTATTTAGGGTCAGTAAGCAAGCATAAAAGCACATATTTTAGATAATATATGTTATGAGCACTGCTAAGTAGAGTTCCAGTGGGATCCGTTTTATAGCATTAAATAAGGATCATTTCTATTTAGCAGAGTTATTGTTTATATACAAATAGTTCTATGGAAATGACTTTACATGCAGGAAAATAGATCACGTATTTTCAGTAAGCTAAACACCTTTGTTATATTTATGTATTTTTGATAATCCCTTTTTTATTACTTAAGTCTCCTTCTAATAATATATTAAAATATAGAGTTTTGACTATCAAGTTTTGGGGTTTTTTTTGTTTTTTGTTTTTTGTTTTTTGGTACCGGGGATTGAACTTGGGACCTTGTGCTTGCAAGGCAGCCGTCGGAACCACTGAGCTAAATCCCTGGTCCTTGACTATAAAATTTTGTGAAAATTTATTTTATTTATTTTCCTTTTAGGGAAGCTGTGAAAGCAGAGTTTTAGGTTTTACTAATATAACTCCAGAAAAACACTGCACATTCCTATTCTCGTAACTAATCCTGAGGTATATATTCATATACCTACATATTAATATGTGTAAATATCTCTAATTTGATTATTGAACAGTTTAGCATTCTAGAATGTATAATTTCCAATTACTTGAAGTGCTATCCTGTGTAAAGCCCATGTTTCATTATATATTATTTTTCTTCAAATTGCATTGAATTTTAATTATTCTGAATTAAAATATGAGAATGAAAATCTGCACATAGGTAAGTTAATAGCAGGCTATTGAGAGAATCTTTCTTTTTGTCTCTAAAACCTGCTATAGAAATCTCTGATTTCCTGCAGTATATCATTTGAAATTTGAAAATACAACTATTAAAATAAAAAATCTTGTTGAAAATAAATTATTACTTAGTAAAGAGTAGATGACTATTCATTTGAGTGTGCATCTGGAAATAGCCTTTGGGAATAAGACAGTCACTGGTATTTCAACATGAAAGTGTTTATGTTCCCACCAGCTTAATGTTGGTGGCACTGGTTTTCTAGTGATTTCACATCAAACTGATTTGTCCATTGTGTGGATACTGCTTTCCTGAGAGAAAGGGTTTGGCAGTGCTAACCAGAGTTGCTGAGAGTGAAATTTTGCCTTTTTTCCTACCTTGGGTTGCTCTAACAAAATATCTGAGGCTAAGTACTTTATAAAGTAAGGAGGTTATTTGACTCATGATTCTGGTAGCCAGAGGGTCCAAACACCATGGTGTCAGTGTTCTGGTGAGGCCTCCGGTTGTATTACAGAACAGCAGTGAGCATCGTGGCATGAGCATACTGAGAAGGAGAGAGCAAATGGTGAGAGAAGAGCCAGAGAGATTCAGGAGCCAGGGTTGTTCTTTTTATAATTCATGCTGATGAGAACTAACCAGAATCCCAGAGAACGACATTAGTCCCTTGTGAAGGTGGAGTCCCCAGTGACCTAATCACCTTCCACCAGCTCTTCTTAAAGTTTCTTTTTCTTCAACAGTGGGGACTAAGTCTCTCGCACATGACCCTGGGGTGGGGGGTGGAGCATGTCCAAATCATATCCAAACTGTTGAAACCACTTTTAGTTAAAGATTCTTCTCATGAAGGCCATGGATTTAGCTCACTGGTTCTGGTGCCAGCCTCGCAAGCGCAAGGTCCCGAGTTTGATCCCCGGTACCAAAAAAAAGACTCTTCTCGTGCAGCTATATTTGTCAGCCTTTAAAACCCCATGATGCTTCTTAATCAGCATAACTGTTGCACGATTTTTATATCATTTAAAATTTCAAAATAATTCAATCAGTATTGTGCTCAAGAACAAATTGATTGTAATATTGAGGATGGTTGTTTAACTACATCAGCAGAACTCAGGAAATTTTAATATCCTAGAGAGGAAGGGAGAAGATGAGGATGCAAAAATTTCTCCCCACTGAGAACTTTTGCTTTGGCACCTTCCCTTAGGGTTAGTGGTTTCCACTAGAAAAGGCCAGGTAGCCTGGACCTAGGGTGTGAGGTCAGGGTCTTGCTCCAAATGAATGGAGTGGAACTGGTGGAGTAAGTTCAGGACTCGCTTCTTCTCTCACAGAACAAATATCTCTGTTTTTGGTATCTGAGTGCTTTTGTCTTCCTCTTTAGAGCATCGTGTGTACTGGCCAGCGTCAGTGGCATCCAGACCCCCTTCTGATCCACTGCATCCAGTCATGTGAGGTAAGTTGGCCTCTTTTTCCCCAAACCCAGTCTAGAGAGTTGAAGTCTGCTTGATTCACTGACTCTCTATTCAAGATTCCATACTTCCCCTACTTCTTTGTTTGGTTTCTTAAATGTACCTGCCTTCACAATCTCAAATTTACAGAAATCATGATTTCTGACTTTTGTTTTGTCTTAGCAAAATCTTCAGCATCCTACTTTAAATGACTTAATAAAAAATAAGTTAAAAAGCAAATCTGAATTATTCATGGTTTGAGATTAGTGTTTTACAGAATAAGGGCACACCTAAGATTTGTTGGGCCATCACAACACTGAAAAACAGTTTTGTTTTAGTTACAAAAGTTTCAGTATTGAGGTTTCCACATGAAATTCATATGTGCATATAACATTAAACATATACACACATACCCCAAATAAAAATAAGTACCAAAAAATTCTTTGTGCAAAGATTTTTCTCTTATAAAACAAGACTATCTAGCAGTGATGGCCATGATTATTCAGATCTGAACAGCAGCTACAGCTCCAGAGGGTGACTCACTGCATTCAGCACAGTCCTCATCCGCCTCCATGGCCACACCCCTGAGGGGCTTCCTGCATTCACAGTAACTGCCTGGGTTACACAGCCCTCTATGTGTGTAACCTCCCAGGGAGACCCGGAGTCCACCGTTGAGTAACCAAACTAGACCTTTACGACTTCAAGAGATCCTGTCTGCTTCTTTGCACAATGGGTTCCTCTACCAGTGTGGAAGTCGAGGTGCTGGAAATTCCCCAGCTAGGTTAACTGGAGCTAACCTTACCAGGAAGAGTCAAGAAGGAGGCAGAGCCCTGCAGAAGGAGGATCACATAGGAATCCTGATGCAGAGTGGGAGACTCTCCCATACCCCATTTAAGCTTCCCACCCAAAGAACAGCCAGGGACAAATACAAGTTTACTCTCAGTCACAACAGGTTTTGAAGTCCAAGCTTCCTCTACAAGTAAATAAACCACTTAGTAGCAATGCCAGATAGTTCTGGATCCACCTGGTATGCTACAAAGAGTTGTTTAACTACTGTTCATTTCCAAATCCTCCCCTAAACACATCCAGCCCACATGCATGTTAATCCCTTTATTCTTCTGCGTTGCTGTGTCTGTTGACTTAATTCTGGGAAACAGATCCGCATGAGGCCAGAGAAGGGGAAAGTGTGGAGTTTAAGAGGAAAGAGAAAACTGGGTGGGGAAATGATATCCATAAAATAGCCTTCTGAGAGCGCATCAGGAAAAATGCTAGCATGGAGTGTGCTTTGTTATTGTGTGGGCCAACAAACCAGCTCATCTTCTGCCTTCATTAGAAAAACAGATGGCAGTAGGGTGGGGAGACGGGAGAGAAGGGAAGTGAATCATCCACTGGGCAGGGGGTACAAAGGGGGGAGAGGAGCCCAGGGAAGGAGGGAGATAAACAGACAGAGGACTTGGGGATCTGGGAAGAGATCAAAGGGATCCTGAGAATTCCCTTCTGCTGCTTTGCAGGCTGGAGGGTGGATGACAGGGCTTGGAGCTGGCTTCCGTGCTTCCCAGAAGGTTAGGATACAGAACCAGAGCTCTCCCTACGTGTCCTCCCCTCCTCCCTGCAGCTTGCGGCATATCCTCTGGGGCTGATATTCAGAGTATCCCAGGCCACCACAGTCCCTTCCTCTAGTGGTCGGGAACAAAGCCTCCTTCCCTGCATTACTTCTCCGCTGCTGTCTTGCACACAGGACCCTGGGCCTCCTGACAGGTTTTTCTTTCCCCACCCCACTGGTTCTCAAAGTGTAACCTCTGGACCAGCACCTTCAGTTTCCTGGGAACTTTTTAGAAATGCACATTCCCAGGTCACTCCTGGGCCTGCTGGATTAGAAACTCTGGGTTTGGGGCTCAGCAGTCAGCATTTTAATAAGCAAACCCTCCTCTGGGGGATTCCAAAGGTCACTAAAGTTTGAGAACTACTGTCCTACCTACTGTGGGAACAGACTAGATGGTTCCTAGCCTGCGCATCCCTATTTTGAAGCTTTCTCTCTTTAGGGTTAATTCTAACTTTCTTTACATTCTGATTATTCCACAGTATTATTCTTGCATTAGTAGTCGTAGTAGTCATAGTAGTAGTAGTAGTAGTAGTAGTAGTAGTATATATTAGTATTATTATTTCGGAGGGCAAGACTTAAAAAAGTAGTTATTGGCTTCTGTTCTCTGAGCAAAGGCCACAAAAAAGAAAGCCCCCTTAGAGAGCAGGAACCAGAAGCAAAGAAAAAAGAGAATCAGTGCCCATAGGAAAGGGAAGGAATTAAATAAGAGCAGAGGAGAACTAGTACTGAAGAAATGAGCAGTGAGATACAGACAGGAAGGGTGAGAATGAGAAGGAAAGGGGAAGAGAGGCTGAAGTTGGTGTGTTCTAGGGGCAATTTGGCTAATGCTTAATTTGTTACTGGAAAAAGTCAGCTAAGCATATTACGGAGAACTGAAGAATGTCAAAGACAGAGGGAAAACAGACCCAGAGGAAGATAAAGCATAGACAACCCTGTAGGTGAGAGGAAGTTTTAAAAAGTGCAGCACAGAAATATGAGCTCATGTTAGACACTTTGCTACCCAGCCTCTAGCAGAGATTGCTTTTTACTTTCCCGTACTGAGTATCATTCCGCACTGCCTTCTCCAGCCACTCGACCTTGTAAGAGTGGGTACCTCATTCATTATTTCTCCCAGTCAGCCCAAGGTGTTAACCCAGCACCTCACCATCCCCTGTCCAAATGGCGCAGTAGGACTCTTCTGTCCCTTGTGTGTGTCATCTCTCCTGGACACAGTGCTTGTGCCATCAATGGGTTAGGCTCCTTTAGGGTCTCTTCTTAAAAAATCTGGTCAACATAATTACATTTTTCTTTTTTTGTGCTTGGGATGGAACCCAGGGTTTCTACCACTATGGTCCATCCTCAGTTTCTTTTTTATTTTGAGACGGGGTCTTGCTAAGTCACTAAGTCACCCAGGCAGGACTCAAACTTGCGATTCCCATGCATCTGTCTCTCTGAGAATCACAGGCATGTTTCATCTTCCTCTTGTCACATGTGTTCCCATTGTTTTGGCAAGAACATGTGTGTGTACTACACATGTGCAATGCAAACTTGTTCATACATTAAATTCTGTTTTCCTAGTTGCTTCTTCTATTTGGCCTTCTGGTCCTGAACAGTCCTGGTATTTTGTGTTTCTGTCCTATGTTTCAAATGGATAAAAAAATTGCAGCTTTGTTAGTGTAAAGGTTTTGAAGTCAGCTGAGTAGTGTGAGCCTTGGTATATTGGGAAGTGAGGCAACAAAGACCTTTAAGAGTTCTTATGAAGAATTACTGTGATAATGTATATAAAGCATTAAGCATTGTGCCTGGCCCATAATAAATTCTTGTAAAGTGTCACTTGTTATGAGCTAGTAGCCACCCTGTGACAGTTTTCTGAATGAGTAAAACAGAATGCAGGGGGCACTGCTGCTAGTGGCCTCAGTATAATCAGGCACAAAGCCTGAGAATGGGAAAAAGGAAAGAAATGGGGAAGGAAAGGGATACAGGTCATTCCCATGGAGGCCCATTTGGGTCCATAATTCATGAATCCCTTAAAGAAAATCAGCTCTTTTGTCCAGTCATCACCAGGACAGTTGGTCACCAGATCATCATATGAACAGTTCTACTTATTGCTACTTTTAGGGTCCCAGCTGAGGCCTTGACATTTCTCAGCTGGCCTATTGTAATAGTTTTTCTAATAGTTTCTCTCTCTCTCTCTCTCTTTCTCTTTCTCTCTCTCTCTCTCTCTCTCTCTCTCTCTCTCTCTCTCTCTCTCTCTCTCTCTGAAATTCCCCATTGTTTTCACAATTCAGTTAGTAGTAGGTGGTGACTGGGCCTTTGTCTTTCCTCCCCATATCTTTTACAATCCCTGTGTGCACTCTTTACTCCAGATGGGAAAAGCCTTTGGCCATACAGTGTTCTGAAAAGTACATGGCTTTGCAATCTGAGCCTCCATGGACCAGCATTGGATACTGGTCCACTTTCTTGATACTGGAAATGTTGCTTTCCCTCTTTGTGCCTCATTACCCTCAAGAGAGTTTTAATAGTAGTAATGCCTAAGGTTTTTGCAAAGATAAATGAGATGTACAGACAGTGAACTCAGCCTAATGCCTTATATTTAACAGGGTGTAGTAAATAATACCTACTTTTATTATCAACCATAGACATATTAGTATTGCCCCATTTACCCCATGTCCTGTATCTTGATCAGGACACATTGTGTCCTGATCCTGATCTACTCCGTGTTTCTCTAAACCAGTGATTCTCAAATAGGGGCAATTTGCATTCCCTACCCCCACCAGGAGATACTTGGCAGTATCTGAAGGCACATCTGGTTGTCAGGATGGGTAAATGAAGGGAGTTACTGGGATGTAGTGAAGAGAGGCCAGAGATGCTGGTAAACATCCAACAATGTACAACAAAGAACTCTGCCCCAAATGTCCACTGTTGAGAGACCCTACACTAGGCTACCCTTAGTGATCCTTCACATGTCTTCCTAACATCTCTTCTATGTGGACTTTCTAATGTCTTAGCCCTTCACCCACAAACCACTTTCAACCTCTAACCGCAGATGAGCTAGATAATTGTACTATGGTCACTACCCTTTACCACCTTAGGTTTCTGTGTCTACCTCCCACACTCTGACCACTTACCAGTGGAACACATTGTCTTTTCCATTGTTGTATCTTAGCTACTCAACATAGTGTCTGCAACAGCTAAGACTCATGAAGCATTTACTGCTTAAAAGTAAAATTTTATTGGCACATTGGTTCAAAATCATAGCACACAAATATTCTATGATAACTGTGTAGAAAAATAATTCTTACACTGTCAAATACTTATCCAATAAAATGTACTCTTTCCAGGATAATAAGAGAAAAAAGAGTGAGGGAAGGAGGAGAGAGAAGGAGAAAAGGAGGGAGAGAGAGAAAAGAGATAGTAAGTAAT